AATAAAAAAAAACCCACCTAATCAAGTTCAATCACCACCTAATCCATGCATAAGATGAAGTTGATCTCACTAGCTATGTCAATGCCCTAGTTGATATCTTAATGTTGGGTTTTTGCATCCAACAATTAGTTTCTATCATATCATAATGGGAATAAATGATAAATCATAAATGCAATAATTAACATAATGTCATTAGTTTGAATTATGACTTAACTAGCATTTTTCTTGAGCTACTTCGAGGTGATTATACATGCCATGAACAATCAACTCTCAAAACCACTATGGTGCCGTGTATCATAAATTAATAGTTGATGCCATGAACAATCGAATTGTTATTTGTTAATAGTTCATGTTCTTTTCCTAAATTAAAGAAAGCTTACATAACTTTTTAATTCCAATAATATAAGGTATCTGCATTTTGATGATCCATTTATTTTTTCATCTTGATCACTATTTTTTTTTTAATTTTTATATGTTTTAAGTCATGACTACTATATGTTAGTGGAGACTGAACTCAAATAATTAAACTTCGTACGTCAATATATGATGGTAAAAAAAATTGATGATATGACTAATAAAAATAAAAATAAAAATAGGCTTTTTTTAAAAAAAATAATAATTGAAACTAAAATGAAATATTTCGTTATAACAGGTGTAACTTTTATTAAGTATTACACTGTTCAATAACTTTATATTAAATGTGAATTTTATAAATTCAACCATTGAATTATAACTTCATATCACTTTATATGTTTATATCAAAATTTGTTAAAATTGAACAACATCTTGAAGGTAATCAAAGTGTTCATATTTTATTATATTTTGAAATGTATATATTACGTTAATTTTATTTTATAAAAATGAAGTATCAAATCATATAGGATTAATATAAAATTTTGTATATATGATATAAGAATAAAGAACTTTCAATCTAGCGGTTGGATTTATTAAATTCACATTTAAAATAAAGTTATAGAACAATATGATATTTAATAAAAGTTATACCGGTATTTTTTGAACCAACTTATATCTATCTATCTATCTATCTATCTACATATATATAATTAATATTTAAATTAAATTTCACTTTTAATTCTCATTTTATCTCATTTAAGTGAAAAACTGAAATAAAAATAAGAATTAAAAGTGTAATTTAGTCTAAATATTATTAAATATTAATTACTATACCATTTATCTAGGTAGATAATAAAAAACTTTACAATCTTAACTATTAATGGATGAAAATATAGTGAAGGGACCAAAATTATTGAATTGAAGGACTAAAACAAAATTAAAAACTAAGAAACCAAAAATATGGATATGATATTATAGGTAGAGCAAAAATTTAATTTAACGAAAAATATTTAAGAAAATATATAAAATTGGGAAACAAATTATTGATATGATATCAATTATATCTTTTTCACTTTTTTTTCTCTCTCTCTTTTTATATAAGATTTTCTTATATCAATTGTATTAATCGGATAAAAATTCTCTTTCTCTTATGAGGATTAGAGAAGATAAATAGACATTTAAATATCTTTCTTCCAAACATTAGTTAATTATATGAAAAATTATTAAGTAAAAAGAGAGAAGATTAATTTTTTTTTTGGTAAAGAAGAGAGAAGATTAATTTAAAAATGCTAAAGGTAGTTTTGAAAAAATATTTTAAATTATTGATAAATTTAATGTTCTTAACTAAATTAAGTAATTTTTTAAAGTGTAATTTAGTTTAAAAAATCTAATAATTAATAATAAAAAAATATTATTTGTTTGGAGGAAAATAATGGGGGGAGAGAAAGGGAAAAAAGGATATGAATTTTTATTTTCTTTTTATTTGATTCAATTTTTAGACAGAGAGATTACAATAGAAAAAAAATATTCATCTAATTTTAGCTTCCTTTTATTATAATATTAGAAGAGACAAGAAAATTAATTTAAAATATGTTTAGTATATTTGATGTCTAAGTTACTTTGCTTTTAAATTCAAAATTAGAAAGATATTAAACTAAATTAATTTTTAAAATCATTTTGTTATTCTCATGAATCAAGTATTGCCCTCCGCATAATTAAACAGAACTTTCAACTCATTTCTTTTGCTTCCTCTGCTCGGTTGAAATCTATCTCCTGCTTGCCTCTGGAAAACTCCTTAAAATCCTTTGAAAAAATCTTTATTCGATCTTTAATCATTTGGAATCTATAACTCCAGATAAAGAAACAGATATTTTAATCATCTGGAGCAAATTATAAAAAAATAAAATAAATAAAAATACAAAAAATACAAAAGCGCAACCTGCGATAGTGGCCTTTTTTCGATTAGTGGTGTTTCTCTAATAAAAACAAGGCCAACCTGTGATAGTGGTCTGCGCAGCAGTTTTACACCCATTTATCTTTGTGTATTTAAAAGTAATAATTTAATTTGTGTAGAAATCTTTCGCAGGGTATAAATATCTACGAGTAATGCATGGATCCAAATTGATTTAATAAGTTTGAGTTAGATTTTTTTAATGTTAGGTCAAATTTAATGTAATTCGATTAAAACTTGACATTATACATGTTCGATAATGGATTTTGTATGTTTTGACTCGTCATCTGACTCAATCCAGTCATATATAATAATAGTTTTGACTCGTCATCCGATTCAATTCGATCATATATAATAATAATAATTATTATTATTATAATAATAATATTTGAATGATCTTTTATTTAGGACAATATTTATTGTGATCCTTGTTGGGATATGAACAAGGTCTTATATTGATAAAATGAGAAGAGAAATAACAACTTATAAAGTACACACATATTTCAATGATGAAAAGACCATTTGAATGATAACTAAAAATGAAATCGTAAAGGTTTAGATCCAAAACAGACAATATTTCATCATTGTGAAGTTGTGTGTGAAATAACTTTATAAAAAATAACAAAATTATAACCCCTCCTCTTAATATAAATATCTCCTTAAACAAATACTATAAAAATAACCCTAACTCTGGTATTAGAGCTGCAAATTGGATTTGAATTCCTCAAAGTTGCATAAAAGGTTAGGTCTTTTGTTTAAGGAAGGATTGTTGGTGATAATCAAAAGCAAAATCGTGAGAACTTAAGTCCAAAGTAGATAATATTTCATCATTGTGGAGTTGCGTGTGAAATAATTTTATAAAACTAACAAAATTATAACCTTTATAAAATATCCCTTCATACAAATACCATAAAATAACCCTAACAATCATTATTTAGTAACGACTTTTGTATTTTTAGGTTAATAGTATTGTAATAATATGACTTTATTTTAAATTTTATTTTATATTAATTAATGTTGATTTTTTAAGTTGATAATAATGTAACAAATTAACAAATTTATTTTGAAATTTAATTTGTATTATTATTTATTTTATAGGTTGATAATATTGTATTCATAATAATATATCAAATAATTTACATCTATTTTAAAATATTGAAATTTTGATCCTAAACTTGTTAAATTTTGATAGAGTCTGTAACGAATCCATTTAAATCCAACTCAACCTAACCCGCTTACACCCCAAGCAATGTTATCTATAAATGTGTTGTTATGATATTTAATTAATTTCACAATATATGAGCTATTGAACTTATTAAACACTAATAAAACTATACTAACGAGCAAATAAGCACGACGATTCCAATGATCTAAATGGTAAATTAAAGATATTTTGATGCTCAAGTGAAAGCGAGTTCAAACAATGCAAGTAATGATTGTATCATATGTGTAAAATAAAAGTTTTTGAAAAAAAAGAAAAATTAATTTTATAAAATTGAAATAGGGTTATAATAAGATTTTCTAAATAGTACTAGAGCTACGCTTGATTTTTTTTTAAAAAAAATATCTATCATTTATCCATACATCAAACTTAATAACATTGAGCATGAATAAATGTATTAAAAAAATTCAAGTTATATATAAGTTAATTTTACTTTATGAAAAAATTTAATTATTTTTTCTTCTAATTATTTTATGTTAAGTGTTTATAAACAAATTTATCCAAATACACCCATATAAATTTAACTCTTATAAACTTATATTACAGAGCTTCTTTATATCACAACATATTAAAATTAAATTCTTAAAATAAAAGAAAATTCTTCCTCAGATAATATACTCTATCAATATGGAATAATCACTTGGATCAACCAGATAATAAGTAGCTAGATAATAACCAGGATTCTAAATTCGAATCATATTATCGCAATTCGTAAGTCCTACTGATAAAATAAAAAATCTGTATCAATATTAAGTTCCTAATAAATTATGCACACAGTGCACAAGCTAAACTACATATTAGCAAGGTAACGTTTGAAACAGAAGGAGCAAAACGTGGGCGTGTTTCTTTCCTCTGAGTATGTGAAAACAATTAGAATAGGAAACATGGTGGAGGACACGTGTCATTCTAACATTCATTCTGAGTCAGTATTGCATGTAGGAATTGCTATAAAGTTAATAATCAAAGTGGCTATCATATGCTCTATACAGTAGAAAAGAACAATATAAAAGCACTTACGTAAAACATTGGCCAAATTACACATTTGTAATGTTAGTTGCGGTTTGTGTGTATACAGCTACCATCTCACTTCTTGCAGGAATCCAACTATAAGAAGTAAAATATAGAAAAGAACTCATATGTGTGAGGGACCAACTTACTTTTTGTTATAAACTAAGGTGCACTTTTAATAAATAAGTTGTTTCACCACTCCTAGAGCTTCCATTGCAACCTCTTCACACAAATTAATGTGAGCAATACAGTGAGTGCTTCGTCAGATATTCTAAAGATACTCAACACTTTTCCAAAAGCGTTTCATCTTGGTGTGTAGTTCGTGTTCTGTTTCTTTCAAATTTAACACACTTGGATTCCTCAAATAAAAAAAATATTTATACCATAATTTGGTCTTATAAGTTATCACTAGATTATCTCATGTTGATGTTTTCTGATATCCTTTTAGGAAAGTGAATTTGAAACTAATTCAATCTTATAAAACTGATTTTTAAGGTGAGAATTGTCTTATTTTTGTACACTATGACCATCTCATTAACTGAAGTGGCATCTCCAACAATATTTATTTCAGTTTATTTCTCCTTTGACTATTTAAGGATGCAATCACTAGACAAAATGTATATTTCATACACTAGAACGTAGAACCACCAGAGAGTGAATATGAGTCCCCAGAGTTTCATTTTCCTTGCTAGCATGCTTCTTATGTTGCTAATAGCTGGTTGTCATGCTCAACTTCGAGTTGACTATTACAGAAGCACATGTCCAAATGTTGAATCAATTGTACGCAGTGCAGTTGAGATAAAACTTCAGCAGACTTTTGTGACAGCTCCTGCTACGCTTAGGCTCTTCTTCCATGATTGTTTTGTTAGGGTAAGCATAGTTATAACTTACAAGCTCTTTTTCTTTTTTCTATGCATGCACCTCCTTCCCTTCCTCTCTTTTTTTTGACCATGTTATTAGTACAGTTTGCCAATGATTAATTTCTGTTGGCCAGTTTAGCTACAGTGGTGGAGCTTAGTTGAGGGGGGAAGCCAAGGTCCCTCAAATTTTTTCTTTTCCTTTTAAAATGTGTATATATTTTTATGTATTATATTATAAATAATTTAAAATATATGTATTTAAGCATTTTGGTGCCCTCAAAATATTTTGGCAAGATCCCTCATTGCTTTGCTAGTCACTTTTAGTGAACTTTTCTTTTCTAATTTTACAAAACTCGAACTTGAAATCCTATTTAAAAAGATTGAGTCTAACCACTTAGACTAATAATTTATTACCTCTTTGACAATAGGTGTTTACTAAACTAGTAAACTTTAATGTATTTTGGTGCATGTGGACAGGGATGTGATGCTTCTGTGATGCTAGCTTCAAGAAACAACACATCAGAGAAGGATAATCCTATAAATCTTTCACTAGCTGGTGATGGGTTTGACACTGTGATCAAAGCCAAGGCTGCTGTTGACCGTGTACCCGGCTGCCAGAATAAGGTTTCATGTGCTGACATATTGGCAATGGCAACTAGGGACGTGATAACATTGGTAAATAAGCAATAGCCTTTGCAATAAAGAGAGCTTCTAATCAATATCATAAATTGTATCACTTATAAAATATGTTCAATCCTAGTACACTGGTTGTCTATATAATAAGTAACAAAGGTAGTAGAATTAGAGAACTCAAACAATTAGCATTGATTGAGGAAAAGATGACACAAAATCGGTTAAGGTGATTTGGACATGTATAAATACCTGAAGGCACCATTATGGGCAATAAATTAGCATGGTTTGTAGTACTCTGAAAAGGAGGAGTCAGAGACTAAGAAAAGTACAAAGAAATTTGTTTAGAGGGGTCTTATAGTAGATAATATCTCTTTGAGATTTGGTCTTTATCCGATTTTAAATGGTGTCGTGTAATCCATATAACTGACTTCACCTAGTTGCGTAAGACTTTTGTTTTGTTGTTTTGGGTAGAATTAGAGAAGTATTACTAGGAGATTAGGATCCTTGCATCCTCCATAGAGTACCATATTTCTTTTGATTTTGTTGAAACATACAATAGCAACAAAACCGTTAATCATAGAAACGATAAAGAGATAAAATGAAAATGGGAGAACAGAGTAATTTCATTTTTGCTGCATAACCATGTTCTTCTACATGTTTTCATTCTATTTAAGTGAAATACATAATAAGAGATAATAGCCATACATCAAAGGCATGCATGCTATCAGCTAAAAGAAATGTACCCATTATCATTAGATGTACAGTTATGCTCAAAAACAAATACTTAACTGGCATTATCCACTGAAGTAAGTAAACATAACTATGCAGTAAAAAAACCTTTTTAGATTTTTTTTTTTGAAGGTTTAACAGATTTGTATTTATAAGAATATTTTATTTTGGCTATGTAGAAAATATATGCAACATTTTAATTCCTTGTACAATTTAGCTGAATACCAAATGAACATTCACTTTGCTTCAGACAGGAGGACCATCTTATGCAGTAGAGTTGGGAAGGCTAGATGGGAGAATCTCTACAAAAGCCAGTGTTAGACACCATCTACCTCATGCTGAATTCAAACTAACACAGCTGAGCCAAATGTTTGCTTCACATGGCCTCACCCTCACGGATCTAGTTGCTCTATCAGGTATTTATTCTCTATGAGCCAAATACTTGTTAGCTATCTAAGGGTCTGTTTGATAAGTTTATCTAGAAGAACTTCTAGAAGAGAAAAGTAAGAAGGAAGAATGAAATGAGTTTTTCAATAAGCTAAAATTAACTTATGCATAAACTAATTTGTAGATATTATTTCCTATTAACTTATCTAAAATCTTATTTTTAACTCATGCATAAGTTATTTTTACCTTATGGTTTATTTCAATTTTTTTTTTCTATTTTTCTCTCCTATAAGTTCTTTCGGAGAAACTTATCCAAGCAGATCCTAAGTTAACAAAACTTGAATTTGTGTTTGGGTATACGTTGGGGCGGATCAAACCTACGTTTTGCAATAGGGAAGGTGGAATTAGCCAATTTTCAACATAGTCTTATGTTGGCATCAAGTCTCAAACTGGATTTTAACTCTAAAATCAATTATGAGAAGAGAGAAGTCTGGTGTAAGTTTTGCATTAGGTTTTATGCCATGTTTTATTACTAACTTATTTTTAAGATAAAAGTTACCAAACATAAGCACTTCACATGAAACTCGCTTTTAGCTGAATAAGTTTGTAAATTGCTATATGAACACACACAAGCTAATTTTAACTTACGAAGGAATTTGTTTCATTTTTTCCTTCTATTTCCTTCTCCTATATGTACTTGTTGAGAAATTTATCTAAACAGACACTTAATAAAGTTGTCAAATATTAGACCATCTGGTTTCCTTATCCCCAAAAACTCTAAATCTAGATTGAAATGAGTGATTGCAGGAGCACATACTATTGGGTTCTCTCACTGCAGCCAGTTCTCCAAACGCATTTACAACTTCAAAAGCAGGAAAAGTATTGATCATACACTTAATCCTGCTTATGCAAAACAGCTCCAACAAGTGTGTCCAAAAGATGTGGATCCCAGAATTGCCATTAACTTGGACCCTATTACACCTAGGACATTTGATAACCAATACTACAAGAATCTCCAGCAAGGAAGAGGACTCCTTGCTTCTGATCAAGCTTTGTTTACTCATAAAGGATCAAGAGATATAGTGAACTTATTTGCATCCAACAACACAGCCTTTGAAAAGTCTTTTATAAGTGCTATAACAAAGCTTGGACGGGTTGGGATCAAAACTGGAAACCAGGGTGAAATCAGGCATGATTGCACAATGATTAACTGAGCCACTTTGTTTATGTTCAGATCATTGTCTAATATTTCTTTCATTTTCTTTGTTTAATAATATCTGAAAGACCACTTCAGGAATGGGGATAATAATAAAATACACAGAAAGCCACTTTAGTAGAATTTGATTCTAGAACAGTTTCTAAAATCTATGTAGACTAAGCATGACTTCAGTTGACACTGTTTTAGTTCGATTCAAATAATGAAGCGTTTATTTTATTTTTAATTTGTTACAACCACATCTACCTATGATTGTGGACGACAATAACATGACAATTGTGATTGTAAAAACACACTTTATAGTGAAAAATTATTAAGTAATTTTAAATCACATGATTCCTAATTAATCTTTACACGATATGTAATCAACTTTTCTTGTAAGTTAAAAAACTTAAATATATATCATGTAGTAATTGGTTAAGATCATAAATATTTAATGGTCTTAAACTACTTAATACCTCGACTGTGAAAATGGATTAGCCATCTCAGACGACAGACTCAACTTGTTTTCTGGTTAAAGGAAAACACAGATTTAGATTGAGTTAAATATTCAGCAACGGTGTCAACACCACTGCATTAATCTTTTAGTATGATCTTAGTAAGCAATAACACTAGAATACTACCAGATAAAAAGATGATAGTAAACCCTACCAATTATGTTATTTGGAACGTAAAGAGCATAGTATCCCCAAGAAAAGATGGAGACAGTGACAGAGACCATTCAAATTTTCACAGGACTGTCATGTTTTTATATAACTTAAAGACGGATTGAACATGGTCTTGGAGTCCTTCTTCGTCATTATATGCGATTTTTTTTTTCAAAAAAGCACCGAAACGGTTCATCTCGAAGCTTGTCCAAGCTCCTTAAACTGTGTAGTGCTGCTGAATCGTGTCAATGTCAAGTCCCTTCAGCTTCACCACTGACTCGACGTGTCCCTTCAGAGTATGAAGCTCCCTAAGCCTGTAACACATTTTCAAATATCGTTAGAGGAACTTCATACATATCATTCATTATCCCTCAGTATCATACATCCAAAAAAGCTAGCAACACACTATCACAAATTCTTTTAAATAGGACAAAATTACTATTGATGTTATTATCCAATCAGAATTGGAGTTTCACCTTAGTAACATGCATAATTAAAGATAACATTAAATGTAAGTGTATATTAAAGAAGTTGAAAATTCAATTATGATTAGAGAATAACACAACTTGTAGATATGGCATTGTATGCAAGTTTTTTCCTTTTTATTATGCAGTGAAATTCATGTGAATCTCATAGTGGATTTCACTCTATATTATTTAGAAGGATTCACTGGATTTCACCTTGTGCTGAAAAGAGTATATCTCACAATGTGATGCTCACATCTCTCATATTAAAATGGCCACTTCCTAAACCTTTTCAAGCACTAGATCAATGTGATATAACTTAATGGGTTACCTTGCAACTTCAGCACGTCTCTTGGCTTGCTCTGCAATCTCTGAAAGCTCCCTGTAGCTATTCTTGTCATTGAAGAGGTTGGAAGTTTCCGGAGGCTGAAGACCGTGAAGAGTCCTCTGTGCAGCTGCCCATTGAGCTTCCCTCTCTTCTTTGCCATAATCTTTCTTTGTAGTGAAGGCAGTCTGTGATGAGAGGAAGAATATGATATGAATCTAGATACCTTTGGACTGGAGCATGTCTGGGTACAAGTCTAGAATAATTTTTAACAGTTTTTTTTCTAGAAAATACTCTTTATTTTCAGTAGAAAAATTCTCAAAAACCTTTTTATTATGTATCCGTTCTAGATTAAGAATGCAACAAATGTTAAATAAGAAAATGAAAAGAACTTACCTTGTTCTCCAAAAGATTATCCCATGCCTTCCCACTTAGAATATAGCGGATTGCAAATTTGAGTAAATCAAGAGGGATATAGGTAACCACACTGTACAGCCAGATCACACCAGCCCAACCCCATCCCATTCCCTTTATTCTTGCAAAGCCCCAGTTAGCATATACTGCTATAAAAGTTGCCACCTGCCAATTACACAACAAATTATTCTCACCACCAAAGAAAGCCAAGAGCACTAAATAATCAATTATTGGTAGCAGATCTTTACTTTTTTGGTTGTTTTGGAGAGGAATAACAAGTGCATAATGTAATGACAATGACATATCTCTAAATATAACCAAGTTTTGCTATTTAAATACTAAAACAAACAACTTTATATACTGCATTGCTAATAGGAGATTCAATCTTACCAACTGGGCAATCAAGAAAGCACCAAGTAGGAGAAGACCAGGTCTTTCAACAAATGACCAGCTGCGGGACCTAGTGACAAAGATTAGGGCCTGACTTATTATACTGACTTGTAGGTATAAGGCTGCCATCATTTCTTCAGGGTTATTTCTCAATGACCTCACTCCAAATTTGTTCTGCAAGAGTGAAAGTTGTGCTCATAGCCCTTAGGATTTCCATTAGTTGGTGATGATATTGAGGTAAACAGAAGTATAAATATGTACCGGGAAGAAGTTGGTATCTTTCATTGCCCAGAAAAATACTACTGTCATTAGTGCCATGTAACTTCCTAGCACAACGCCAGTAGCAAATATCTCCCTCAGTTTCCAGCTATCAGGCAGTGGAGATGGTTTCACCCTATCCTTGGAGATAGTCATAATGGTGCCTAAGTGTATGGTAGTGTGAGGAAATCAGTGTACACATTATTGCATAAAGGAAAGAGTAAATAACAAAAAGTTCAAGAAAATGTTATCTCACCGTCGTTTAGTATGGCAATAATCAAAACCATGAAGGGTGCAAAATCAAACTTCCAGATCAATGCAATAAACAAGAAACCAAACTACAAAATAAAAAATAACCCACATTAGTATACAGTTCGACTGTATAAGTACATAGAAAAAATTAACATTTTTTTGTATCAGCCCAATTTCAGCACTTACCACAATACGAATGGTGATTGACACAGCATAGATCTGTTCCACAATCAAATTTTTTGAGTTTAGACAACTACAAACATTAAAATAAAGTCATATATATAACTAGGAATGCAACGAAACTAACAGTATAGTTCTTCATCCTCTGGAAAATTGCCCTACTGGTGAGCACTGCACTAATAATGACACTCAGGCCAGGTTCAGTGAGGACAATATCAGAAGCACTTCTAGCAGCATCTGTAGCATCAGCAACAGCAATTCCAATATCTGCTTTCTTTAATGCAGGGGCATCGTTTACACCATCTCCTGTCATTCCACATATATGCTTCCTCTCTTGCAGCCTCTTAACAATTTCATATTTGTGTTCTACCATATGAGACAAGAAAAAAAGATTATAACATTTGAAGCGTTGCTCAATTTGAAACATCATTACACTTATGATAAATATAGCAGTTTCAATACATGCATAGAAGACATGGAAAGTAAAGGATGTTTGAAATATTTGAAAGCATAAAGAAATGGATGATTAGTCATCAATACTATTACCATATAAACATTGAAGTGAATTGTAACACTTCAAAAAGTTAAATATAATACACACATTAGTCTTTACATATAAATCTAAAGGACATACCAGGAAATACTCCTGCAAATCCATCAGCCTTCTCAATCAACTCATCAACTGGAAGAGCTGAAATAGAAGCATCCTTGTCTTGGCCAAGCAATGCAGATGAAGGGTACATGTTTGTTCCCATTCCAAGCCTTCGGCCCGTTTCCTTTCCAATGGCAAGCTGATCCCCTACATAATCACAGAGCCACAAGCAATTTTAAAGCTACATGCTTTCATTACACAGTTCAAGCTACAAGAAATTATGGCTTCAAATCCTACCAGTAATCATCTTAACATTCACACCAAGGTTAAGAGCTCTTCTAATGGTTTCAGCACTGTCATGCCTGGGAGGATCAAACAATGGTAGCAGACCAACAAATTGCCATGGTCCACCAGGACTATCTTTTGATTTTTCAGGCACTTCCTGTTGCACAGATCATATAAGCTTTTAACAAAAGAATGTTATTCATTTCAATAAAACAGAAAAGAAGACTCATGGATATCAGCTTTGCTTACCTGTCTTGCAACACCTAAAGATCGAAGTCCACGCTCCGCAAACTTATCAATTACTGCATGAACCTTTTTTCTGACGTCCTCTTTGCAGTTGCAAAGGGTGATTATCTAAAGCAGGAAAAAAACATTGGTTTAGTCATCTTCAAAAAACATAATAAGAAGATGGCAATGAGACCCATATTTACCTGCTCAGGAGCCCCTTTGCTAGCTCTATGCCAATTTCCCTCGGAATCAATGTATGTCAGTGCAGTCCTCTTGTCCACAGGGTTGAATGGAAGGAAATGCACCTCCCTGATACCACTACGTGCCTGATCAATCAGAACATCAAAATTATATTTTATATACACCCCAAATTCAATTTTTTTTCCTTCTATTTATCCCTTTTGTCAAAAAGAGTTAGATTTTGGTATATATACCTCCTTTGGGTCAGCAAGCATCCCAACAATTGCAGCATCAATGGCATCTTGGTTTTCAGTTCTGGAAGCTCTGGCTGCTAGAAGGATAACGTACTCTTTCTCAACACCCTTAGCAAACACCTCAATCAAGTTTCTGTCAACACTCAACTTATTCAAAGTGAGAGTCCCAGTTTTGTCACTGCATAGGACATCCATCCCTGCCATTTCCTCAATAGCAGTCATCCTTTTTGTGATGGCACCTTGCTGAGAGAGCCTGTGAGAACCAATAGCCATAGTGACAGACAACACAGTTGGCATGGCAATGGGAATTCCTCCAATCAAGAGCACTAACAGGTTGTCAATTCCATCCCTGTACTTGCGATGTTGAATCGGGTACATGACTATGAGCTCGATGGCGATTCCAACAGCAATTGAGCAAATGCAGAAGTTACCAATCGCTGTAAGCACTTTCTGAAAGTGTCCAACTTGGTTTGTGCTGTCAACCAGATGAGCTGCTTTGCCAAAAAAGGTGTGCACCCCAGTTGCAATCACAACTGCTTCTATCTCACCCTTCTTAACCGTTGATCCTGAAAATACTTCATCTGAGGAACTCTTTGTCACAGGAAGAGATTCTCCGGTCAAAGCAGACTGATCAACACTCAAAGGATCACCCTCAAGAAGACGAGCATCAGCTGGGATGATATCTCCTAACTTAATGCTGATTATGTCTCCAGGTACTAAAATTGAAGCATCTTGTTCACTCCATCGGCCATCCCTT